CGACACATACATGGAGATCACATGTTGACTGCATGACACATACATGGGGATCACATGACATGTACATGTGTGAGTAAATGGCTCTTACCTTTGGATTACCTCCTCCCTCCTTTGCAGCATACATCAATTGCAATGCTGACTCTGCAACAGTCTTTGGTAATTCAAGTAAGGCAGCCTGTCTCTGCGAATTGACTGTCTTTGAGGCTGCCCCAATGGCACCAGATGCCAACGGAATGAAATAATTAGCCATACTGGAAACCTACAATGACAGAAAAATATTTTACTACTTTCCGCATTCTAGAAACTGTGGTGTCAAAAACTGTGTGTTCATAAAGAAAGTATTTTTTTTTAAATAAATCTTGAAAAGAAGAAAATTATATAATTATTTTAAGAATACGGTATAAAATGTAATGCAGTCAAATAGACACATCAAATACTACTAGAACCAAGTCCCTTCCATTAGTGAATTATCTTGACAGTTGCAATGGCACATTCACAAATGGTATGGGTCAATCGTAACTCCAGATGGATTTTCAATGTGGGAACTTTTAATCCCTAAGTAACAACTTATTTTCTTATTAGAAACGCCATTTTCATAAGGCACGGCTTGAGTAATTAAGAGTTTATGCAAACAGTTAATGTATTCTAAAAAAATTAAACTTCCCCTAGTTTATCAAAAATTATTGTATTAGTGTTTATATAAGGAATGAATGTAATCTAAAAAAATGAAATACACCCCCTAATGTATAACAAATTATTGTATCAGTGTTTCAGTTTCCTCTGTAATCCATTAACAGAGAACATTAGACAAGTTAGTTGCAATGTCCATTACCTGGTGTCCCAGCTGCTCAGGATGGGCCTTGGCTGCCTGTACCACTCTATCGATACCTTCATTGATTTCACCAGTACAGTTAGCCATCTGTTCTTGAAAACCTTGTAAATTAGACTCTTGTTTCGTAACAAGGTTCTGGTTTATAGCGGCCAATGAGGCTTCGTCTAATTCTTTAATTACACCGTTAATGGTGTCAATGGCTTCATCACATTCTTTCTGTCCCGGCGCTTTGTCTCTGTAATTTAAATATGTCAGTTCATTTAAGGTAGAAGACTAGTCATAAAAT